AACCAGGTGGGTAGGCTTTGCAAATTGGACCACGTTGAAAGGTGAACTTTCGACCCAGACGCACCCAAGCGGTCTCCATTAGATCTACCGAGAAAGCCAAACTTTCAGTACATATTTCATTGCCAGAGGGGTCAGTCAGGTCGGTTCGTGCATTTGTTACAGACACACCAAAATACTTGGACGGGGGATCCGACGAACATAACTATGGTGCAAGAAGGGTTGCTTTCAAAAATGGGAGCCATTCAGCAGCGCTTTTTGTGGTCCCTTCGCTGGAATACTTTCGTAACCAATAGCAGTAACGGTAGCGGCTTCGTGTGTACGAAGTTTGCCTTTGGTAACGTCAGCAAGCTACCGTAAAATAGAATTTAACCGATCTACTTTAGCCCCTTATAGTTCCAGCCGAACATAATCGAACCACGCGCTCTAGGAAATGTAGGCAGACCATCGAATCTTTGGTTGAGAGTGAATCGGCTAGCTACATTGATCAATGGAGTGGAAAGTGGACCGGTGTATCGCCTGATTTCATAAAATTGGAGTATCTAAATTCCATTGTCCTTGAGACCGTTTTAAAATTAGTCCCTCTCGTTTCGCGTTCTTTTCAGTGCGACAGGCAGATTAAGAAAGATTATGAGGCAACAGGTCTAGAACGTTGAGTAATTACGTATGTGCGACCCAGCTACAATAGGGTGAGTGGGCAACAGCGATCCGTGATACTCATACTCATTTACCTGTACATATATGTATAGCTAAAGTTATTTCGTACAATTCATGCCATTGCAGAACCTTTTCATCCGGCTCCTCCCCTGCTAGAGCTCAGCAGCTTTAGGACAGCGTGTGGTTTCCAACGTATATGTGACTATGCCACGGAGCCAAGGTGCATAATTTCGCTATTTCGATATCAGACTTTCTGAAATTTCCTACGGGGTAGGATAACGGGGCAAGGGCTATCTCATTTTTTGTGAAAGGAATATTCTGTGGCGTTTAGAGAAAATGCATTTGGCTGTTTGAATCTCAAAATAAAAGGAACCGTAACCTCACTCCAGCAGTCTGTTGTGTCAGCCCAGGACACCTTGCTTCGAAGTTGACTAGAATGCTAGTGGAGTTGTGTAAACTTGAAGGCGGCCTTGCATTCAGCTAACTAAATTCATTTAAACGTACGCAATCACTCGTGTACCACATTTGTTGCAGCATGTTAAGAGCTGATACTTCACACGTTTAGTAGCTTGAGTGGAATTTGTGCTCTGAAAGTGAGTACTAGGTTCAACAGCACTGATGAAGATTACGAATTTGTCCGTTCCTTTCCTTGTGCTGTTCGTTTCGTACCGTTCAAACATGAAAATCTAATGCCATTAAACTAGAACAAATGAGCATACATTTGTCTACTGCTTCCGGAATATTAATGCGTATGAACCCCTCATTGGTAACCACCCACAGAAGCATTCAGAATGGGTTCCAACGAGGAACAGCCTACACTGAATTAAATGGTTTCGAGTAGAGATGGGACGTGCTTAGAACTAATGTGAAAATGTAAAATAGATGCGCTGGTGCTATCCGGTGACCTGCGGATAAATTGCCCTAACTTAGGCCCTCAAACTCTCCATTACACTATGCTGTCCTTTAAGCTCCTCCGAAATGAGTTCCTTGCGAAAGACTATATGCCTTCCATTCTTTTGAGAGGGCCGAGGTAGACGAAGCAACTACGTGTCTTGCACCGGCTTAAGGAAAGGTCCGGTGTCTATGGATGTTTTCCGAAGCACAGCAGGGTGTGGTGGAATTAATCATTTCAATAGCAGTGTTCAACGCATAGTCTTCATTACGTGGAACTGACTCGTTTTGACGCATTACTGAGGTGAATCTGCATTTTTGTCGACCTAACCTATCCTCCGAAATGAACCAGCGAGTCTGTCTCAGATGAAGACCAAAAGGAAAAGCAATTATGCGACAGAGATACACTCTAACATTATAACAAAATGCTGAATGTTGGGAACTGGACGAATAATAAGTCACTGTCTTTTACACGTCCCAACTCAATCAAAAGCGCCTTCTTTGTGAACCCTCCGTAGGCTAGATTACGTCACAACCACAAAACCGAACGATGCAGCCGGAGAAGTCGACTGTTTCTGAATGGTAATAGCAATTTGTTTCCAGATTCACTGTCTTTGTGATGCTTCCACCTTGGAAGCAGTTTAGTCTTGATCGGAACATGACTGTGGCTTTTGCTTCAAGGTATGAAAGCATAGTAGGAAGATACGACACCCAGTGCGGTGGTTCATACCAGTTATCTAAAGCCTGTGAGCTTCTTGTCGTGTGCCACGAGTTGCAGCTGTTTGGGGAGTTGTCAGGGCACGCAATCCTGTGGAAATGTCAGATACTGGTCTGACTTTATTCAACCAAGTTTACGGCGATTAGGAGTTTCAGTACTTTACACCTCTCTGGTCTAGAGCCAAAATAATCATTGTTCATCTGTTCGTCAGCTTTTAAGCAGCATCAGGAGCACAAGAATCATTTTGTCGGCAGGCTTGACCCAAACTGATTCCTGAACCCGATGTTAGCTTTAAAAATATTTTAGACAGATCGGCCGCAATTTGATTGCGTTTTGAATCGCACTCGTGCTGATGGCCAATTTTTCGCCAGTATAAATGACATGCATGAATCCAATAAAATTCCCGTAGCATAATCAATTCCACGGACAACCGGATGTTCGCTACCAAATGGTCAGCACACCCGTCTGTCTAATATGCGTTTGATATTTTAGGCAAACACGTTAGGCACAGATACAGCCGAGAGAGAGTGATGGATCTGTGTGAGTGATCTGGACAATTTATTCCCCTGAAAAGGCAGGTGGCTGGGTAGACAAAAGGTTACATCGTCCAGTCTGCGGTATGAAATTCATTTTCGCTTATTGTTGGACTTTAGGAATGAACAGAAGCGGACACTTCTATGCACATCATGCACATGGTTTGAATCAGATTTCTGGATTATTGTGAAATACTCTAATCTTGTCGGCTCTATGTTGAGAGTGAAGAACGTAGAGATGACGACCACGTAATTTCACATCATGAACAATCTTGTTAGTGACAACCAGACATGTTCGAACAGTCAGCACGATAATGTTCATATCCAGACAAAGTGCCTCATTGTCCCCTGCTTAGTCTGGTAAAATAAACCAATGAGGATGCATTTGGCTGCTGGCCTTTCACTTGTCCTGACAGAATGAACCAGAAATTGCACACTTAAGTCCGAGAAACAAGTGAAGGGTGCAGTTATTCGAGCAGCTAATAACTGATTCTGACAAATATGATTACAATATCTGTGCAATGTGTATATTCCGCCCGTAATCATGTGAAATTAGTGTGTCACAAAACTGATTTCACACAAAGTTTACCGATGGACAACATTCAACTAAGTAACGCTTCTGGAAGCGAAAATTTTGCAACTCAGTTATGCCTAACGTAGAAATAACTTTGAGAATAGAGCTTTAAGCAATTCATTTAATTTTGTTCTCATGAAGGTTAGAAATGTTTAGCCCTGTTTGTTTTAGAGAGTGAACTAAAAGACAAATCTGAAACAGCTCTCAACTATTTATCCGCGTTCGAAAAAGACCCATTAACAAAACGTGCGGGCAATATGACTTGCTTAGTCGTCCGTTTGATGCAGTCTGGTCCCCTGCATGATATGTACCACCGACTTATTTATGGAATTAGTACAATAGAATAAGAAGAATAGACTGTCCATAAGTTGATTTCGAACAAGCCAAGGCATTACTATCAACATAAAATGGAACAGAGAATGCGCCTTTTTCGGATCAAAGTTTTTCACGAGAGATACCAGGGATCGGCAAACAACAAGAAGACAAGGGAGGCCCCTAATTTTACGTGATCCGTTTCCTGCATGTCAAAATTTTGTGCTACTGATCAAGAGTTGTCTTTAGGTATTAGTGCGCTTTGCAGTACCATGTAACTCTACCCACATCTATATCTGTGTTGACTAGAATTAGCGTCTTTTCGTTTTTAGGTTTCTATCCCCATCCCCTAGAATCTGGTACCGCACCCAATAGATCCCGCCTGTGAGGAAACCTCTGACTTTAGTGAGTGCTTCCTGAAACTTTGGTTAATCGATCTCGTCATCAGACTACTAAAAGACCGATTACTCACCGAGCAATCGTCCTATGGTAGCTGAAGAAAAACCTGTCTATCTCACATCTCTTCCCTTCGAACAATCCTCCACCGCATGCTCCGTGATAAAACTTCATCAGCTTCCATGCTGATGGTTATCTCTATAACTAGGTGTTTTACTCTGGTCGATGCATGTTCCATTTTCTTTAACAGTGGTCATAGTTTTGCCATAATGGGTGATCGAACAAGTCAGAAGTGTGGTGAGACAAACCACATGATGTTTGAAAATTTGACTGTCCAGAATGGCACTTACAATGTACAATATTTTGAATAGCTGGAAATAAATAATTCAGTGGCCCTGCTCACAGGAACCCTTTAAGAATATGCCTCGCATATCCTCTCATATGAGACGGTCATGTAGATTTGATCACAGAGATTGCCACCAGGATGTGGAGTTCACATACATTTGATGGATACATATGGGGTAGATTTCATTCTCACATTATCACTCGATTATACATAAGCGCGTGAAATGTGTACTGGGAATATTTCGAAAAAATTTTCAGCCCAAGCAATGGGCATAAACAGGAAGCACCAAGATATAATAGCCTAGCTGAGTTCATAGGGCGATTTAAATGCAATAGATAAGATGGTCGTTTGGTAGTCTCAGCTATTGGAATGTGCGGAGTGGAGAATATTCTAAGTAAGTTATAGAACTGCAAATAAAGCAATTCTATGGTGGAAAACTGAGTAACACTATATATGGGAAGTCAGATTTCTGAAAGTAACCCCGGAACACCCGGAACTCATTGAGACCCCGAAACTCCACCAAAATCTCAATAGGAGAGCCGACAAGCATCCAGGCCAATCAATCATTCAACTAACTTAGCAAAAGCCGATGAGTGTTCCGCCATGCCACAGAAGCATGACCGAATCTGATCAGCATTCGGGCATTTCAAGGAAGCACGATTCATGTTGATGAATATTCACTAAACGCCCATCAGACAGCCTGGATCAATGTCAGAAAGTGCCGTTCAAATAGCGCGGGGGCTTTGTAACTTTGCACTCGCTTGTTCGGAATATAGCTGTGTTCCCTCTGTGAGTATTTTTTCCGGCACTGGGCACTGGAGGGGGATCAGCAACAGATACAACAGATTGGCAAATCAGCAGATATAACACGCTAACAGCGGGTTTACCCCTATTGGGAATCACCACCAGTTCGCATATCACGAAAACCAAGTCTCAAACCCGCTACTTTTCAGCATAGATTGGCCCACTTGCAGGCACTGGGCACTGGAGGGGGATCAGCAACAGATACAACAGATTGGCAAATCAGCAGATATAACACGCTAACAGCGGGTTTACCCCTATTGGGAATCACCACCAGTTCGCATATCACGAAAACCAAGTCTCAAACCCGCTACTTTTCAGCATAGATTGGCTCCACTTGCAGATTGAAATCTTATTAACTTTATCAAATCTCCTCACACCACCAATACACTCATCTGGGAAATGAAAAATTAGTTGCTCTAGAAGACGCTTTTGATAGATATTCTGCAGGGTTTCCCAAGGCTGAAAGTAGATTGTATTGCTCACACTTCAGATCCGAGCATCTCTCAATGATGACCTTTGAGGAAGGGGGGCTGTTGTTGAACTCTCCTCTTTCTTTTGGTGCTCCTTTTGAAGTCAGAGAAAATTAGGTTAACCTATAGGGTTTACTTATTACTATACAATCCTACTAATATATACATGTTTCTGTGGGTAGATTTTTTCTACCTCTCACAATGTACTACTTATTAGTATGATCTTTCTCGCATATCCCGGTATCATCCGGTCTGCGAATGAGTCTGAGGACATCTGATTGCATCAAAAGTTTTTGATTTGTCTTCCTTTAACAGAAATCAAAATGAGGGTGTACCGGTATGCTTCTAATTATCACGTTCTCCCTCAAACACGGCCATTCCAATCTCCCTCCCCTATACCAACCCTGAACCATTTTGTGGCTCAGGAGTGAATTAAAATCCCGTTGCGTGGGACCGATTCTCCTCGGCGTGGTCTATTGTTGATTATCAAGTCCATCGGACATCACAAAAGTCCATCACACAAATCCTTCAGCGACTCTCCAGCTGCCAATCCACGCATCTCTTGCTGGTAGATGATTTTAATGCTCCCTAGGGCTCCTTGATGGAGCTCCAGCGCATCGGGTCCAGTGGACATTTTGCATCAGTGCTGACCAAAGTTGTTCAACGGAGCGCTTGTACCCAACAGACACTTTGCAGACCAACTACCATCCCTGCTGGATTTGGTTATTACCAACGAATGAAACTTCGTTGATCAACAGCTAATTAAGGCTCTACTTGGAAACAGTAACCACTTCGTGATGCCTTTGGATTTCATCTGCTACTGGATCGGGAATCCGGAGCTTCAACCGTGGATTTGAAACCTCTGCAATTCAGATTTCTGAACAATGCATATCTTCCTTGACCAACGTAAACTGGGATCAGTTTAAATGGAGGAGGCGTATGTGGCCATTTACGAAGGAATTCACGAGGTTGACGCAGTGTTCTTCCCAAAGAAGCCAGTGTGCAGTCGAACTGACCAAAAGGAATCAGCGTCTTCTGGAAACGAGGTCCCAACTCTTCTTCATCAAGATAACTAAAGGAAGCACAGAAGATGGCTTGACATTTCGTAAAATGCGGAACCGCTGCGAATCAGAAGTCCGCCAATGAAAAATACAAAAAGTCAAGTCGCTCGGCAGCTACAAGCCTATTGACTTCATTAGCATACCGTGCAAGATCATCATCATCATCATCATCATCATCATCATCATCATCATCATCATCATCACCATCATCATCATCATCATCATCATCATCGTCATCATCATCATCATCATCATCATCGATAGCATGACATCAGTGTTCAACACCGATGCTTCACTGCCGTACAACCATAACCTATTTGAAAGCCTTATTGTAAAGAAAAGAATAAAGGTGGACGGGGAAGGGACTTAGTGCTAGGTTAACACAATCATTCCGAGGTGCGTACACCTCCAGACATTCACTCAGGCAATCTGGATAGAAACTGACAACAAGAACCCCACTGACATCGGTTGGCAAACCCTCTACGGATCTCACTAAAGGTTTGTTACTATCCTTTGGAATATAGACACCCACAGTCAAATCACCATTCTTCTCCACGTCCAATTTTATCCTCAGAATCCCAAACGGTGCCGGGATGATCAGACAATTACAGCGCAAGATCAGTTACTCTGAGCGACATCTTGACTGTCACTGAGGGGAAGAACAGTTTAACTGTTCGATCTCGGAATGGTGACTCTCATCTTTTAGGGCGAACACTAGCGAGTTCGCATTTTATCTGTAATCGCTTCTATGTAAAAGTTTCGTTTTCTGCTGTATGTTCACTCTGAATATCAACCTGTGTTTGACAGTTTGGAAATGCTGTTAGGGTTGAGATTGCCTTCCATTACTTGCTTGGGAATACTGAATCATTTGCGTGGGGACATCTACTGTCTGGCCGACAAAACTGATTATCTTGCACAGTTAATTGTGAGGATTCTCCATTACTTCTATTATTACTGCAGCGCTCGCTTCGAAGAAAAAAATGACAAATAAGGTCTTAGCGAAATGCACTCGTTTGCATACTGATTCGGTTTTGACGGGAGACTCACCTGGAACCCGCCTGGATCTCTGCTTTATGATGAGTAACTTTCAAATTAGGTCTTTTGGGGGGGAAGGGCAAAGAACGAAGATCATCAGTTTGTCATACAGAACTATACAGTCACATAAAATAAGGAAGAATTCATCAAGTTGAGGGAGTATTGTTGTCATTGGACGTCCTTCAAACCTTGTCTGTGATGTTCAGGTTTTTCACTAAAATAATTGAATAATTCCGTGCAGTGACTCGTTCTTTTGGTCCATTCTTGGGACGGATAGTCTACAAAGTTCAGTTGGATATCAGCATTTCCATAAATTTCTCGAGCCTTTCTTCTTTAAAATACGATATGACGAACACAGCACATTGACTACTATCAGTAAATGATTTTTTACGCCAGACTTACTGATTGGAGGGTTGCGAATCACTTGTTCGAAGACACGAGTGTGATCCCCAAACAGGCGGCTTCAGGTTGACTGCTGTCCCGAGTCCTTACTATCTGCATGGCAATAATTCAGAAACAAAGACGTAAAAAGCAACGTCGATAGTTTAAATCCTATTTTTCCGGATAAGGTGTTGGAAAGTTGGTACGATGAGTGGAGGCAAAAACAGAGAATACTCGGAATTCCCCTGATTGGCTTGAACCTGATGGCCTCAGTTCGCAATGGTTGTTCGACGCTTTTAGTGCAAAGAACTTACTCGGAATTCGTTACGTTGTATCACACTGTACTACTCTTTTAGCCCAGTTCAAATCACACCATCGGATTTTGTCATGCGGGAATGCCGTCAACAACGGATGAACAGCTAATTTTAGATGAAACGTGTGCGTACAATTCGTCGGCGATATGATTTGGGTACAGGTGAGTGTACCGTCGGAAATTCAGATGAACTGATTGGATCATTACTTAATACTTTCCTTATCTCAGATGAAACGTCAGTATTCGCGGCAGAGTATAAAGTTACAGTAGAAAGGTAGCCCGTTCCAATCAGCTCACGAAAAACGCTGACCAAACTCCGTCAATATTTTTCTGGACGGGCGCACCTGCAATTAAACTATTCTACAGAATACAATGTAGCTTTTCCAACATGTCACGCTAAGCCATGTGCTTAACACAACATTTTGTTAATCCAAGTCTCATCCAAGTCCCAGGCTGTACAACCCATCACTCTATCGAATCCAAACGTGCTTAAATCGATAATCCTGCTTGATGCAGCGAAGATTTTTCGATACTGTGCAGTGCGAAATATTGAAGCACAGTCTCTCGCTTGTCACCGTTTTATGTACATTGAAAGCAAATAGAGAAGCCCATTTTAAACAAAACACCGGAGGTGTTCCCATATGAGAAGGCAGTTGGGATTCGAACAAAGATCACTTTTGTTGATTGATTGATTGGCAAACCAGACTGATTTGCAAATGAGCGTATTTCTCGAAAACAGTGTAGTTTGGGTTCAAATAGATCTTAAGGCTGACGGAAACTCGGGGTTGCGCCTACTTGATGAGCCCCAAGAAGGGTGAAACCGGTCGTGGGCTGTCGAAGAGTTTTCAGCAACCTTGTTAGTAGTTTACCTTGTGAAAAAGTCACTTTTATTACGTTCGTCACTGAGTCAGTTGTTTATTTAGCTTGAAATGGCTCGGCGGTTAAAGCACGAAATGACGTGGTTCGGAATCTATATTGCTTCTGAGCTTGGACAGCCTGGCAGTATCTCAGTCCCCGTGCACCTTTCGGATGGCTTGGGGAAGGAAGTGGTTACAGCTGAACAGTTATTATTTTTATTACAGCTGTTTGTTGATGCATAACAAAGGGAACCCTCTGTAGGTTCCGGTACTTCCCGGCCCCGTAAGGTGGTATTATACTGCAGTTCTTCCAAAGGCGCCCATCGAGTTGCGAAAAACAGAGTGGTAAAAAACGAATTTCGGTTTAATTAGCCCGATAAGACATCCAAACCTTCATAATTCACCGACGGGGCCTTGAACGACAAGTATTAACTAGCGTTGTGGGAGTGTGTGAAACCCAGTTTTCTGAGACAGGTGCACCTGGGTATATTCCACTAGCGAATTGTGCAATTTCCACGTACCCGTGAAGTCTTGTGATAAATAGCCATTTGCAAATTAAGTCAGTGTCGATGGGGATGGCCAAAGTTCCTCTGAATTTCTATTTATGATATTATCATGAGCAACATCAGAATTGTTTCATTGGATGGTGAGGACTCAATTCGAAGAATCCCCCTGGGTGAGTTTTTGAAACTCCCAAATAAGGAAAGAGTTAGTCGATCCCAAGTGGATTATGATCGCTGCATACACCATTTGCCAAACAAATGTACGCGGGCAGCTGTGATGTGTATGAAAGTAAATTATGCTGTTGATAATATGAGGAGATTTGGGAACTTTCAATTATTATCTTGTTCTGTAAATGAAGGCAATCACATGCTGTGAATCCCGTGGTTGAGAATGAGTGTGCAAGTGTGAGCCAATCACAATGCTGATCAGCCACTCGTGATCTAGCGGTCCTGTGCAAACTAATAACAGGGGGGTCACGGATTCGAGACTCTCGGAAGTTCCGTGAGGTGAACACTGCTGACGATTCTTACTAAGGATGAAACAGCTGTACAATGCTTCCTGGCTAGTCAACATAAATTGGCTTCACTTGCAGGACGAAATCTAGATGAGTGGATTGCACGTCCCTGTATGGATTCCAAATTTCATTCCGTGCATCATCGCACTACTTTAGTGAAGGCCGTGTGCAGTCATATTAGGACCGACAGCCTGCACTTTTAAATTACGGATCTTGAAATACACTGCAATATGTCTCTCATGGGAGAACAGATGTGTGTAGTGATGTGTATAAAAACGGGGTCCACCGGAAGGAAGAAACACCAGGGCTTTTTCTCATGAAGCTGATGAAATCCCTTTAACAGACCGCTGCTGTTTTCACCCTTCATTGTGCTTCTCAAGGAGGGGTAATCTCCAAGATATGCTTACTATTGCCTCAACTGAAATAGGAGGCGTTAAAGATTACTACAAACAATAGATTCCACCGTTATCCAGTTGTTCCCCAGTTGATATCAAGTTAATTCGCGAACGAATGTATGACTCGAACAAGCAGAGCTGGTCAAGGCGACTACTAATTACCGAACTGCTAGGCTGGATTAAACATAGAGGGCAGTAAGTGGATTGGGTTGATCAGTGTGTTCACCAACAAAATGTAATGACGAGATTCATAATTTTCTAGTGTGACTGTGAAGAACAAGTGTTGGCACAGGCCAAGTGAAATCTGATTGCCATCCACAATGCTACAAGAAATAAAAAGCAAAGTTGGTTTACTGTTGGAACTGGTTGTGGAAACAGTCGGATGATTTTTGTGACGGAAAAGTGATTTTCACTGTCAGTTGCATGAACACGTGACCAAGTCTTTAGCATGTTCAGTGCAAACAAGTGCGTTATAGGACGATCACACCACCTGTGGTGACCTTGAGACAATACCATACGCTCTGTACATGTCGGACCAGAATAAATACACTACACAATTCATAAGTATGTGCAGGTGAAGCGCGTGGAAGGGTTAGAAAATATACTTCGGGCGAAGAATGCACCGAAAAAGCCACATTGAGGTCTGCAAGTGTGGTGGAACCGGTGTCTGACTGAACACGGATGCTCCGTCGTTGCGTGCATTTTCGTTCACACCACACGCAATCACACCTCGCATTTCAAGATTTACAAACTTCTACTCCTATCAGGAAGGAAGGATCGAAATTGCACATAGTAAAGGACACAGAACGCGAAAAGAATTTCTTATTATTCTTCACAAGGATGTATAGCTAAAGCAGCACAAGTAGACGTTAGTGATCCTTACTTTCGTCTACCAATCTCTTAGTAATTCCACGTAGAATGTTTATGTAATATGCTTGTAAAAGTTGGACGGGTCATCAAAGTACGCGTCATTGAATGAGGTTTTGTCAACAAATGAAAGATGAATCATCGATTAAATTTCATGAAATGCACTGCTAAACATGAGGAAATGTATTTTCACCACGTTGGCCTTTGTAGCAATTGATTCTGTCGTGTTTCCATCTGAAATGGATGAACGTAGGAACTGGCACTTTGGTCCATGGTTCGAACCACCCTCTGCATCTCGACGACTCTTGTCTAAACTTGAGCAACCTGGCACTATATCAGCCCTCGTGCTTTCTTCGGGTCGGGTGGTCACCTATGATATTCTGGTGAACAAGCGAATGTGCACTGACTGGATAGTCGCCTCAGACCATATGTTTATACAATCTCCAGAGTTTTCCATAGTGGACTCGAGTATACGGATCGGGGCCCACAATTGTCAGCCATGTTTTCTGTATTATTGTGTGACCATTCACTGTCCCGTTTCCTCATCCGAATTTCTCGGGGACCTTGGACAATCAGACTAGGCACTTCCTGATACCCATTGAATCATGTAAAGTTAAGCAAAAGCTGGTTCTTTCTGTTCTTACTTGCATTAACTATGAAGGCATCTGGTTCCACGTGGAAGGACATTCAAGCAAGGATCTAACGCATCGGGCGGAGATATCAGTGCCCTATCTTGTTTGACCACTGTACACTGGCTAGAAGTTTAAGCGTACTAAAGTACACGAGTACAACTCGCGTTTTCGAATAATTAGTCAGGTTATATGGATTTCCGTCACTAAGGTCAGGTTCCTGAAATTGATCCCGGAATGCTCGAAGCCTAGTGAGACTCTCAAACCTCACCAAAATCGTATTAGGGAAGCCGTCGAGCGTCCAGCCCCGAAAAGTCAGTTTTCGATCGAACGCTCAAGCAGTCAATCCATTCGGCAACGACTGACGAGTATTCGGGCATGCCCTGCAGAAGCACCGCCGACGGTCTGGATCAGCCAAAAGTGCACTTTAACTGTCGCGTGACCGCTTGTAACTTTTGCATTAGCTTGTTCGCCGCAAAGCTATCTGTTTCTTGTTGGCGATTATTTTTCCGACACTAAGGCTATGGAGCGGAAACAACAATTAGATACAAGAGTTTCTGTGCTGTACAGGCAATTTACGCAGTAGCCGAATAAAGCAACTGTGTGTGTATGGTCGTTGCCATCGTTCAAATCAAACCAGATGGACGATAGGGGAATACGGCACCTTGTGGACTGTGTGAGAGCAGTAAGATGTTCATATGTGTTACTCAGAAAAGCTACCAACACGAACATACCACAATGGTTTGCAACTGTGAACATAAGACAGTTGCCCAGGACCAGTTGCGCCCACTTAAGCCGCATCAATGTAGTTTTATGGATACTTATGCTCTAGTTACACGAGCTCAAGATTTGACAAAGACAAAGTCGAAATCTGAAAAAACTCAAAGGGAAGATAATGTATTCCAGCAGTGGAATGCACTTTCGTTTGTCGTACAAGATATCATACGATCGCATTTGTCAAGCAGAGAAAAACAGCCATCAGCAGCGAGACAGAGTTGCACCATGGTCATCCATAACTCCCCGAATTGCACTGCAGTAAATACCGCACATACATAGTTGGGCATTCTTTTCGTGACGTCCTCCAATGAAGGAATTCTAGGACCGGATAACACCGATAGACCCTACTCTAGATTTCGTACAGAGCACAGAATTCAGAACCACGTAATCCTGCCGCTGGACACATGCATGTTCCGCGAACCCAAAATCCTTCGATATCAGAACCCTCTTGTAGAGATTAGCAGCAAGACAAACCTGTAGCCTTTGATCACTAGTGACAACTGTACGCTACGAATGTACCTTTTTGAAATATCGGTTGCAGCATATTTTTAATTGCATCGACCAAACGAGTATGAATGAGTTAGGAAACTCCTACGCAGCAAAGTAAACAAAAGGGCAATGGACGAAATGAGCGACATATCAGCGTTTCAGCCCAGCTGATCGAGCTCACAAATCGTTGACCTGAGAAGTACTGTGCATAAAACCTGAGTACCTCATCAACAACGACACCAGTAACAGGAACATACGTCCAGTATATATCATCATTATTGCTAACCTGCCTGGAATTGAGCTCAACAGGGGATTACCACAACTCGTAACTAACACAGGCATCACAGCCTAATTCGGAAGTTTCGATAGACGATATGTTCATCTCATTTGTGGAGTCAAGGCTGCCACTTGGACCATTCCTCAAAAAGTTATATTTAGAGTTCCAAACAAACATTAAGAAAGACGAAAACACCAACATAGTCCCGAACAGAGATTCCAGATGACTTCAGAAAATAATAGGGATATTGCAAGTTAGAAAGAGAGATCACTCGTCAGCGGTTGAAACGACCTTTTGATTCCACTGGATTAACAGTTTGGAGGTAGCCAGTATCTAAAACAAAACAAATTGAAATAACAGACGAAACACACTCAGCAAAACTACCTTAGGGATTGGAATAGCAAAATAGCGGAGGCTACGAGTGGATAGAGTAGGTAGTGATAGATATAGTTAACGTGACCGATGCTTTGCGTGAGATTTTGTTCTACCGAAATGCCCATTTAAGTTTTACGCCAGTGGCTCTTAGCTTAATAAACACAATGCTTTCTGATTCAGAAGATGAAGTCTTTAAATAACAATAATAACAAAACTAACTAAACTTTTTCGATCAATTATGAAAACGGTTGAGTTAGCTATTATGCTTGGGATTCCCAAATGGCACAGACATTAGTGTTTGATACTGGAACGTCAGCACAGTCACACAGGCACTATTGTAAAAAAATTTGTCCTTTGGTCGACGAATGCACAACTATGACATGGAGACGGAGTAGGGGCGTTGAATCAACTAGTAGAATAACGATTGACGCAAAATGAGTAGAACTAAAGTTGAGGTGCTTCAACGAAAGGGAGGACCATGCTGGGCAAATTGAAAGCTGGGGGTATATCGAGCAGCACTTTAAGGTGTGCTAACGGACATTTGACGGGAATGGCATCATATCAGGTTTTCCGTCAGAATGATTGTTCCCCAACTGCTACGACAGATAAAGCACCCACAACTTGGTAGGTTAACGTAAATTCCTCGGGCATTATAACGGACTCGACCTAGGATCCGAATGTTCCGTGTAAGCTACGTCACCGCTTGTTGAACTACCGTGGAGGAATTTGCAGTGAATGCTCAGTCAGCGGTTGGCTTGCAGCCGGTCACGGATCAAACGACGGGCGGATCCGTGGTGTCTACGATCTCTTAAAAATGATGCACAAGGACGCCGGCTTTGCAGAAAAGAATCCAGTACTTTGAACGAATAAAAGGAAATGCCATTGTAGGAGATTGGGGCTTAATTTTCGTGGGGTTAGAGAATAAAAGCATCTGTAGGTTATAGGATAAATCCAACGAATTTCTGTCGTTTCAGATGGTACTACCAGTAAGAGTATTCCCGTAATTCGATCAGCACCCATGTTTCAATGAGAGATGGAACGGAAGTGCGTTAAAATTGGGAGATTTCATTCGTTGCTATCAAAGTATCAGGATAGAGTTCAGAGTTCGTTGTACCATCAAGAAGGGAATTCACTAAAAAAACATAACGCCTTTGCTTAAAATTCGCATTGCCGCACATATTCTTATGAGAAAGGAAAATAACAGTTTAATTTCAGCGCAACTCCCCATGGATGGCTCACACTTTTTAACGAGGAAGACACAATCACCTAACATGAGCCATATATGGTTTGTCACTCTAAGCCAAACTTTCATCCAGAAAACATGAAAAGATAGTGTAAAAATGATCCACTCCGGACCCTCGCGAACGTATAATCGCGAGATTACCAGAATATGCCATTTCCGAGGCTTCACCATATGTGTATTATTTCTTGATTGGGGCCGGATCTGTTGACTTCATCAGTGATTGGTCTACTACACGTTTTCAAGCCGTTTTAGTTTTAAGGATGGAGAATGCTCCTATAGATACATTCTTCCCTAACTGCGTTGCTACCCTGCACACTCGTGCTTCAGATTTCTCACTATCTTGGCTTAAATTCGATATCGCTCGGCGCGAAGAACATTTTCGCTGTATTTGGCAATGGGGCGTCCTATTCTCTCAGTCGACGAATGCTACCTGCATTCTCGGCGACTTTCTCGTTAACAGTAGGGAGTGGCTCCCATTTTTCCTTTCTATACGAATCCAGCAGATGGCGAGGTCGAGTTCTTTCCTGTCAAAAACTTCACTGCCCGCATTGCCGTTTGTTCGGACCGAGGTCCCGGGTCATGACGGCAATGGTATCCTAAACCTTGATTTTTTTTAATCTCCTCACCAGATTAAACTATAACCTGATCTTGCTTAACTGTTTCTTCAGACCACTATTTTATACATTTCACTGGCTCAAGTTCTCTCCGCAGTCTGGTTTTTCACCTCATCATATGCTATGACGATACTGTTCAGTTGATTGAGATGGCACCCACCAACATTTTGGCGATTATCGCTGGGAAGGTTGCCTCTGGTGGATCAGTCAATCCAACTCAGCCCCATCTTTCCGAACAAAGGAAGGAATCATCCTTTGAGTGGCTCAAATATGTACGTCCGTGAGTGGATGAAAACGGCCTGCACAAACGATACACGGCGGTACTTCAACATGAATGCGTGTGTTGCCGCACATCTGTGACCGATATCAACAAGGATAAATCTCGAAAAAGCCAACTGGAGGTCAAGCGTTTCTGGAGTTTGGGTAAAATTGTCACTCACAACTTTCGTTCCGCTTCATTTGCTTACATCTTTGACAAATCTGAAAGTCTCAGATCCCTGAAATCAGAAAAGCGATTTTTGAGCGAGGATCTTTGCCTATATATGTCCTTTAACTCCCCAGACTCTGCACCACTATGCCTCGCAGTTAACCATACCTTGCCAATTATTATCAATAGGGATATGCGTGCTTCCACATCAGAACACCACATTTCAGTTGACCTGCTCCAAAGATCGCAATTGCGCTCATGAGCTTCCTACAATTACACCACAGCTCTCGCACTAATTCGCATCTAGTAGTGTTCTTTCTTCAAGATGGAAAAATTCATCCGCCCGTCCCATTCCCGAATGTGGCTCCGGGTCTGACCACACCACATACTGGCCTATCAGCATTACCACCTTCTTGTCCGAAGTTCTTGAATCAATTATGACTGAACATCTCTTCTGCGGTCTCAAAGACAACGCCCATCTTTAGTTTGGATTCACATACTAAGTCTGACGGGGCGAGAAACTGTCTTACGTGTTCCAGAGTTGTTCTTGGTCTCCAAACTTCTTTGGTAAAAAGAGGATGGTTGCTCACCAAGGGCGTCTGCTGAGGTCCGCCACGGGTATTTGCTTGCAAAACTTGCCATGTACACACCATATCCATATTTGATCACCAGGACAGAAATTGCCTCAATTGTAACTCTACAAAGGTACCGAAGGATAGCGCTATTCCGGAGACCCCAAACATGAATGTTGAAGTTCCTTGAGGATCTAAGGCTCCTCCAGTAGACCACTTCTCTAAGTGAACGATTTCGCACCGTCCGTTAAATGAGTAGTGACTGACTGTAAACACTGGCTCTGGAACCTTAGTGGTGGGGAGAGACTTACCAAACAAGAACACAACAGCTTTGGTACGAACAAGCGAGTGCAAAATACAGTGGACGTCGCGCTACTTTAAATCACCATTCTGACCTTGAACCAAGACTGTCCGGTCGACGTTGAGCGATTGATTGATATCGCCTCTAAGCCGCACATAAATATTCGCGCGTCAGTCATCGCAGTCTAATTGTTTGAACGTTCAATCGACAGCTGGTTTTATGACCCACGGAAACGGCGCCTTCCGTGGAGTGATTTTTGCGGTTCCCAGTGAATTACAGACGTTTTGGGGTTATTTTCAGGAATCCGACGTTCTCACACTATACGACGGCGCATCATTCTTCGCCCTAATACTTATAGACATTCACTGTGCTCCGAATGTGCGATAAACAATTACCGCCCTAAGGACCAACCCTGTTATAATTCCTGACGAGTTTACTCATTGAAGTAGCATTCTACGCTACCAATGAGTTTCGTGTATTCATGTCCAACCATCCACCCTGATCCAAATCTATGCATTGGATTCACCACCAGTTCCAATTCCTCTTCGTTTGCACTCGTGGTTTACCAGTTTGTGCCAATTTATCCGGGTCTTCACTTAAAGGTCTTCGTGTGGCAACAGCTTGGGAGCTGTGTTCCAGCTGAGTCTCTTAAGTGAGATACTCGCATTATGAGCAGTGTATTACGACCGATAGTCCAGCACCGAACCGACGCACAAAAGTCTGTTGTGTTTTGGGAATGAATCCTGGCCCATCAGCGAATGCGCGTGACCGCGTGTAAAAACAACGGCCATCGTTGAAATTGGGGTAAAAGTGGAGAGCAGGGATATCAAAATGCGTCAAAATATGCGTAGTTTAAAAAATGGGTAAGACGAGTGGAACAACGCCTACCAGATCATAGTAGTTGGCCAAGAGCGTTTGTGAGGCCGTTATGAGCTGCTCGGACCGTTGCTTTTGATTAACGTAGGTGAGGTTCAACTCATTGAGTTTCCTTCTGAGACTGGCCAAGTCTACCAGAAGAAGAGAGCTCAGCAAGTGGAGACAAATTTACCTCTAAAAGAAGGATGATTTAGAACGTTGGAAAGTTGTCGAATTTTTTCCAAGGCAACAGCCATATTTTCTAGCTTTTCTTTTTCTGTAGAAGAGGGGAAAAGGGAGGAGTTTCTCTTCAATTTTCTTGCGACCTTAACCAAAAGTAAGCAATATGCCTATAGCCTACAATGGAATGCTACAAATGCAGCCGACAAAAATTCACCACGTATAGGACGTGCAAAACGCCATTCACAAAAATGTCTCCCTTCGATAGTTAAAAATCTATCGGATTTGAATCTTCGAGGAATATCGAATTGTCCACTTGAACGAGGATGTTTTCATGTAGTTGGAGCTGAGGTGCAGGTATCAACACGAAAGATTTCTAGAGGCTAGCAGTGTTATTTAAAGATTACTGAGAATTGAATATAAAAGGGTGTGATGTCGGGGATTTCATCTGAAGAACGATATCCAAAAAAGGTCCCCATTGTGAAAGGGAAACGAAGAGAAGCTCATTCAGAGGAATGAACCGTCATGTTATTATATGTCTGATTTCGAAAGTGTTCCTACTTACATTGCAACTACGGATTGCTCAATCATTCTGATATACAAACGGTCTGTTATTCGCCACTTTACCCAAACGGAAAAAATGAGTTTCACTAGGTAGAACGCAAACCAGGATAGCCGACCATAATAACTGCGGCGTGGTAGCTCAAGAGAGCGTGATTTCTTTTTCCAGTGTATGAAAATTCACCGGATATCAAACACAAATTTGTTTCGATCCGATTTCGCAATATCCCGGTGGTGAGAGTGCAAACTAACCGAAAAAAGTCTGTGGTTCCAACTCAACCCAGGTATCTCGACTGCTCCTGTCTAGACTTGGGTAATCTGGATGAATTTCAGTCCTCGTGCTTACTTTGGGTAGCATGGCAGTTGCGCACCGAAAGGGTGTTACGGCTGAACGATTATTTAAACTGATTAATATCCATGAACAAGAGATCCTGAGCAAATTTGCATGAGATTGGATTAAATTAAGCACCAAGCTGAACTCAGTGTGCTATTTTTGTGTCACAAATTTGGATGTAAACGGATAAACTAACCTAAATTACCATAGTATGCATTTTTGGTTCGCGTGCTCTTAGAACCGTTCGGTCGATTCATAACGCGCACTGTTTCGGAGATCAATATCTCCTAGAAGTGAAGCCCCTGACTCTCTTTGCTCATATATGATATGGATGTTGAAAGAGATAAAGAATTCATGCCAACAGTTGAAATTATATGTAAATGAAGAACCCACTTAGGTAGAGAATGGGAATCAGTCGTCGAAATAATGTTCTGGTTTACCAAGACAATGTTCTTACTCTACCATAAGAGATCTAGTCCTTACTACGATATACTGCATCGGAACGACGTAGATCAGTGCGTTAACAGCGCATATTGCAGGGCTTCGAACATGTCCCTCGCAAACAGGAATATGAGCGTAATAAAGTTTGCTCCTCAATTTTGGTGCTGGAGACAAGAAGGAGTAAGATGTGCGCAGACCATGTCGCCAAGCGCTGCTCAGGGAGAACTGTAATCCGTAACATGCATGTGGCCGGATCACTCTAGTGAAAATTCGACCAAAATATGTCTTAGAAGAGGTCTTCAGAGAGATGTCCTCTCAAACAGGACGATTAAATAACAGATCAGCAAAGAACACAAGGAGCGAAGTTCTACAACCGTTTTCTTCGAGCTCCTTTCACACTTTCTTACCCCCAAACTAATCGCGACTGCGTAACACGTCTTGGAAAATCCTTTAGTCATGCAGCTACACCCGAACTCCATGCATAGTCAACGTCAGAGTAACCAAATCGTGTTTCGCTACTCACGGAGCGCTTTCTCATTCCGTCTGTTTTCACATGGACAAGTTTGAGTGATAAGTGAAGGACTTGTTCCTTTGCAAACAAAATTTGGGCTAACGAGGTCTAACGGCAACAGCCTCGACCATGGCAAGTAGACGCTATGTTGTGACCTTGGAGGTGCTTGCAAGAAAACAGTAAATCACGTCCAATAACGCGTCCCGATTACTCGAGCGATAAGTTTCTATCGAACGGAAGCCAACCGAGCTATCGGTGAAATTATCCGTGTCCACTCGGACGGAAGATCGACAGTGTTCCTCAATCCATTGATATACTCGTCGAATCGTCGTACCAATGTAACTTGCACAACCATCAAAAGTGATTGAGCAGATTATCATGCAGGAGTTGAGGACTGACAGACTATATTTTGGACTAATTAAGGTAAGGAGCACACTTGCGAAGAAAACCCTGATTGGGGATTGCAAATTGTAAGTTCTGCTGACTTAATTAGCACTATTTTGATGACCTTCGATATGAAATTGCCCTAGAGTAGTAATTGCATAAACGGTTGTTTTTAAGCACTGTCAAGGTCGACTCTTTGGGTAGATTTCTCTGAGTCACATATCTCCCGGCAAAGTGTTCCAGAAACCCACCTTCTAAGGGGGTGTTAGTTACCAGTATGAGTTCTCTGTCTAGGGCTTCATTACAGAAGATTATGCTAAGCCTCGAGCCTATTTTCGCTTGTATTTGAAATCAACACAATCAATTGTCCGGAACAAGTCGGTCTCCTATAGACTAACTACTTTTTTCCACCGGCAGGTTCCCTACGCCGATCGATAACAAGGGAATAAAACGATCCATCAGTCTTTAAGTGTGAAACTAGCTGGTGGATAAGACTTGTTGAAGATTTCCACTGGTTATGACACATAGTCGGTTTCTTCAAGCACGGCAAATTTGTCTTCCATAGATCGTCGATACAGGCGCACTTGCTGTATGGGCCCTTTTACCGCTGATCATTCGAGTTTACTCACAAAAATCAAACAATGTAACAAGCACACTGCTATACCGTCTTTTTGTCTACACAAAGCAATGTCTAGGGTAGCTTGACAGCCCTTGATACCGCCTTAACAGCTGGTTTATATCCAATGTTTTAGTGTCAGTAATTATGGTACACTCACGTACACGAGGACAAATAACAGTTGTGCATCTGTAAACAACGAAGTTTAGCTGAAAGTCAGCCATCATCATCATAGATGCACACAGAAGAATTTTTCAGGCTAGAGGAGCATAGCTCCCTTCGTGTCAGCATGAGTAAATTAAGTAAACGGTTAGCGGTCGCACGATGAGGTGGGAAACCCATATATGCGATAGGTCAAGTGAGATTTTCATCCGTGCGTAGTTTCGGCAGACGATAAAGTCGCAGTATGCGAGTACCGGTTGCCTCCACTTTTTCGTATTCCGAAGCCGTAATGCGACCTGAATTTTCCAGTCTTTTGAGATCCAGCTGAATCTCTGTACACCGCAGAAGCTCTAAAAAACCAACGACATGCTCCGGGGGACCACTTGATGCACGATAAATGTCACTCCCCGCAAGACAATGGAGGGTTGACATACACGTCCTTCGGCTGTATTCATATACGCGTGAAGGGACTGTTGCCTAAATGAATTAACATTCTACTGGGTGTTCTAAGTAAGGGCGGATAATATAGTGTCCTACACTCACATTGGTCTACTTGCTGATAGACCGAGAAAAGCAGTGTTTCGATACCTAAATGCAATGATTTGTGAAGCGTTTCTGCACACGACAGCGTCTTATTGCTAACCACGAGGATGTCACCATCAAACTTCATCAGCTCATAACTTGTAAACAAAGCCACGCCCAAACACCTGGACCAGAGTACCATCATTATCAGAGACAGAAATGCAAAACAAACTAACGTAGTATAGACTTTTCGTTGTTCAACGGAATTTCATTTCAACACAGATTTTGCCATTTTTTTATGACTGTTTTTGGTCCAAACCCCATTCAAAGTATTTGCTTGTAACCTTTTTATTGTAGCAACGTACAAGGAATTACTCGAGGAACCATTCAGAATGGGAGACCGTATTTTCACGGAGGGTGACGGAGAGAGGGATATTATATTAACAAGTACCGTCCATTTGTATTTCCTCTGGTCAGCATTTCGTCAATGAAACACTAATTACTGTGCCAGCTTACACTGGGACGAAATCTGCGATTACGGAAACAATCGCATCGCACAACATAGTTGGGAGCGTGTATTTATTGGAAAGCATTTTGTCACGTCATTGTCGAGCGATAAGCTCTCTCAACCATCAGAAGAAAAAAAAGGCACCCAGAGCCTGTTGATTGCGGCAAACATCTTCACCAACTTCCTGACTACTTATGCGACTTGAAGTAGCGTCTAAAAGTTTCGGAGAGCCTGGTTGAAGCTGCGCACAAGCATCAAAGTGATCCTCCGCGGGAATAACAAAAGTTCATGGACCTCAGAACCTTACTGCCAGAAGAAAATCCATGAGCCATCATTTTGAAGGTAATACAAAACATGACATTTAGTAGACTATACTGTACAAATTATCAGCAACCATCTTACAACATAAATTATAACATTTTGAACTATATCTGCCTTAAAAGACTACAACCCCAGCATCGTATTCAAAGACGGAAAAAGCCGACATTCAGCGGCACAGCGGATTCATACGATAGTAAATGTGACTCACAGCCAAGTTTGGTACAAACATCCTTTTGTTCGTCCCTCACCACCTGACCTTAAATAACCCAATTTCAGATTTAGCTGACGCCTGCAAGACCTAGTCACCAAAGGTACCGTGCATGATTTCTGCCACTATCTACCTTGATGAACCAGTTGTCCTGTCGGGGTTATGGCAGTGGATTGTGCGGATCAGCTCATCCAATCTGGTGACTATTCTTACCTTACCATTTATCCACATTGCAATATCAAATGTTTAACCCTATTACAACAATGTGCATCATTCGCCTAAAAGGATAACTAACAGATGAACTCGATTGTCATAACAAGTGGGAAAGTTCCGCGAAATTTGGTGATATCAGTCACAGAGGTGGTGATTCCACAACGAATATTGCGACAGACGAATTAGAGAGACCACTCTTATGGACACGACTGGCCTGTGATGGATAGATCCAAAAAATCATAAAACCATTTGATATGTATCGTGAGCACTCAGCTTAGGCATCTCAGTGGAGTGGCATCTAAACAGTGAGTTCTTACTCCTGCCCTAGTGCAGATGGACGAAGTATGAATATCTTCAAGCGTGCCCGATAGTCATTCGTCTGTTTCGAAAAGAAAACTGATTTCATACATACAGTATGTACCCGACGACATGTCTCAGTAAAGCACAGAGAACCGAAGATGAGGGATTGAAGATAATATCCACAGGAAATGTATTTCCCAATCACACTTCGGTATCATACTAAATACACCTATCATAAGGTAGGAAAATAGCTTACTGAATTTGGTAACGCAGTATAAAAAATTAGGACAAATATTAATACAGTAGGACAGCTAAATCATACAACACTGCTGTCACGTCCAGACTGTCAGCGTTCGGTTACTTTCAACGTACAGTACGCTACAGAAAAGGAATTCTGTGAGGCGGATAATTCCTGTGAGAAAAATCAAGTGTCCCGAACAGTAAAGACAAAGAAGTGTCAAATGTATCTGAGGTAGACGAAGCGTCCTCAGAATGCCCATTGATATACTTCAAATTAGAGAGACACGTGAGTAGGTCTGGAAAGCCTTGCAACGTCACTGGTATACAAGCTACCGCGAAAAGCACATCATTGCTAACCGATGTAATCAATAAAACCGGGGAAAGTATAACACCAGTGTTCAACTGAGGCTTCACTGCCGTACAATCATGATTTATCTAAAAGCCTTATTGTGAAGAGAAGAATAAAAGTGGCCGGGAAAGGCACTCAGTGCTAGTCTACCACAATCATCCTGGACACCCGTTCAGGTAATCTGGATAGAAACCTACAACAAAAACGCTACTGACATCGACTGGAAGTCATATGTTGCAGCACACAAGGCGCAGTGAGGATCATGCAGTTCTCATCATAAAAGGCGAGTCGCACCGCAGATACGCAGACTTTTCGTTGTCTCTTCGATACCCCTCTGTTGGGTCCAGCGTTGGCCACCTCTGCCTGTCACTCTGAATGGGGCAAGGAAACAACACTGTTCGGAAAACGATAGTTAGACATGCTCAATATACGGCCTAACCAACATGGCTTCCGGCGCTGGATACACCCTTCGATGGAAATTCCCACTGCACAATCAAACATTCGCATTCTAATTGGCTCGTCAGGAATTCGCCAACGGAAGTCAACCCACACGAGCTACGGTTCTGGAACAACGGTTATCGAAGACCCGAAGACGCCTCAGTTCCGCTGCACGAACAAGCCAAGTCTCACAAACATACAACGAAACGGCCGGTACTTTAGCCTGGTGCACTAACGCCATAGGTGTCTCAAATCAGCAAGCGCGCCCCATCTTGCAGATGAGTGCATGGACCTAATCTGTCACACTACAATCGGAACTAATATAACTTCCAAGATACGTAAAACACTCCACAACTTCGATTGCCCCTCCCTTCCCCTTAGTTATATGAGACAGTCTTCTGTTCCCAAATGCAGGCAAATAGATTGGACAGACAGTGACTTAGGGCCTCAGTCCCATCGTTGAAAAACGCGAGTGGGAGATCATCCGGACCAGCAGCTCCGTGACCCTTGGAAGAACTTATGCAGTCCTGAACCTCCGAGGTTGTAGGAGGTTCAGCGTTCAGGATTCTACGTCAGCTGTAGGCTCCAGACTAGTGGTAGCCGGTAGACACGAAATGGTTTTTCGAAGTATTCGGCCCACTGGTGGAGGTGTTCTTCTTTATTCAAGATGGCTAAACAGCTCTGATACTTCGCGATTTCGTTCACAGGTGGTTTCCGGAGACTGGCCGCTTAGATCAGCTAAAATAATCTTCGTGCATTCCCGGCTTCTAGGGTCTTTTTCATTTCCTTAGCCTTCCGAGTCCATCGGGCTTTATGTTAAATAAAATCTGATGCTATGACGAGGGGAAGGTTGGAGGATATCAGGCAAAACAACCATTGCCTAAGTAGTTCGATGTGACTTTGTGCTTCGCCAATCTGCTAGGACTTACGTAAGTGCACACGTACGTAGTAGGTACAGAAGTTCGTTTTCAGAAAAAAGTGGTAAAACCGGGACTTTAAAATTTTGTCCCCCAAGTAAACACGTGTCTTCCTTAATATAGAGCTTTCCAAGCTAAAGTACTGTTCTGGTTGAAGATTAGAACTTTCTGCATCCTCTTAGAACAGGCCAATCTCCAGCATTCGACTGATCATTTCAGATGGCCTCTTCAGAAGGCACACCCATGTGAAGACAGTTAGAACATGCAAAAATTACGCCAGAAAAGGATACTTACCAAGGAGAATAATTTCAACCTTAGCTTTGGTAGACATTGAGTCATCATCGACAAAATGTGGGTCCGCGTACTTTTGAAGTTCTGTCACTTGAAGAAGTATCGTGAGTTGGAACGTCAAAACTTACACCGAGAAAACATTTTTGATATCATTGGACGCCTTTCGGCTGCAGCTACAGCAGCATGCGCCGCAACCATGTTGTCAAAGATAGACTATTGGAAAAAAGTCACAATAAATTGGAAATTACTTTTTTAGTCTCTGGTGCACTGATGAATTTACTATCTCGTCCAACAATCACATCTTCCAACTTCGACAGCCGTAGTTCCAGCAAATCGAGTGTCATTGACTAAAAAAGCAATTACTTCAGCCGACTCATATCAACCTATAGAGGCGAATGATAACAGACTGAGTAACATCTGAATGGTATATTTGACTTTAAAACAAGAAACTGACAAGAAGAACGAAAGTTAGCTACGTAGAATGTCACTAAGTGAACGAGAAGATCATCCTCAGCGCTGAACAGTCGGTTGTGGAAGACGCTTAGGTTGCAATACCACATTTGAATCGTAAAAACAGTAAGTTGTGTGGGCAAAGTACTCCGGGACCTGATAGACGGGTAGTTTGTGCATTGTTGCCGTGGAGCTTGGTTGCGTAGGCTTGTTTGGTACACCTATAAATGTATGAAAGTAAGTTGAAAATACAGTAATACGCCAACTTGGATTCGAAGTCGTCGACGGAGGTGTTTGGTTGCCGATATTGTCACTCCCAACAGTTTGGGTCAAACGTTTAATGACAGGCTGGTTCACGAGGCGGTTGAAACGCAGCATTGGTCTAGAAACGTTAGTTCACAACCAAATAAGCCGATGCAATCAAAGTCACTCAGTTCGAAAGCGACAACAGCCTACTCACGGGGAAGTTTATTAGTGGAATTCAATGTTTTTACAAAGTATATAAATTGTTCTGAGGATAAAGTGACAGAGCATACTGAAGAGTATGGGGTCACATTAATGAGACGTGATAATCGTCTTAAATAAGTTGGGATGCACCTGGGCAGAAGTAACGCTGGACTCGAAAGAAGTGCTGGCGAAGATGGCTCGTGCAAATAATTCGGACAAACGTGAAGAGGGAGCCAAACATAATGGCAATCTCAACAGGTCAGGTGTACGAGTTACGTGGGAATTATTTCGCATACTCTTGAACAAAGTACCGAGCGGTCCGGAAAAATTCACTGGAATTACGCTGATACTGCTCCGCCGCAGCAGTGTTGAGTGCATCATTGAAATCACATAAGTCCGTGAACAGTGACTCGATTCCCCAAACTACGTCCAACAGTCGACGGGTCGGTGCCCAACCGGTGGAGTCTAAGGAGCTCTGACGCAGAAGACTGAGACAAACGCGGCCTTCCTCATCAATATTCGGATGCCAGATTCGGGTGTTACAATGTGCTAATGGGGGCGTATGGTTATACCCCTCAGGGACGATAATATTGAAATGAAATGTGCCGCCTGTCCAAGTGCCTTCTCTTGGCTTAATTGTCAATATGAATTCATGAAGCTTATTTGGGTCCGGATGTCGAATCGTGCACTGTGGAGACAGATTATTTCTCAATTCCTGGAGTTCTTGCAATAATAAACGATCGCGTATGGTGGCGCTGCGAACCGAAGGGGACTGAGCAGCGTCAGATTCCGAAGTTACCACTCCTTCTTTGCGTTGTTTGATCTTATCGGCTAATCTGATCATCGATCACCTGAAATGAGAGCAAGATACGATTATCCAGTCAGAGAAACAAGTACACTTTTGATATTAAGTGTAAGAGCATACTTTCTATGGTGTTAGCCACTATCATGTTCACAGGAGTTGATTTTAAAACCAACTATTGCACAAGAAATAAAATTTTTCCCTGTGCACCGGCAGCAACAACAGACGGGACAGCATTACTCGTGTGTCAGCGCCAGTGCCTAACTGTTGTGGCGGTATGGCAAATTATTTAGATAAATTTCCATCACAGAAACCAAACAGAAGGGGGATTCCGTGCTATTCAACTGCAACCGTGGCATCAGCCTGTTAGCTGTGGCATCGAAGATGCTCTCTGGCCTTATCCTTCGAAGGTTGACTGAACACAGGGAGAGGCAGATCCGTGAAAACCAAGCTGGGTTCCGTCCTGCAAGAGGTTGCATCGATCATATCTTCACCCTCCGACAGATTCTGGAACAGCGACACTGCTTCCAGCAACCAACAATGGTTGTTTTTCTTGATCTGAAAGCTGCCTTTGATTCTGTGGACCGCCAAGCACTATGGTAGTGTCTGTGGAGCAAAGGTGTCCCTCATAAAATCTTGAACCTCATTAAGGCGCTGTACGCCAACTCCCGCGGCCGTGTAAAGGTCTACGGGAAGCTCTCTCCTGAGTTCACCACATCAAGTGGTGTCCGACAGGGTTGTCCTCTTTCACCTTTCCTCTTTAACTTCGTCACTGATACGATCATGGAAGACTCACTACCAGCCTCTAATGCCTGTGGGGTCGAAGTGCTCCCTGGGCCTCCGCTCACAGA